ACACGAATGAGAGAGTAATCTGGAGATTCTTTATAGAGGACTTCAAACGGTGATCGATCGCTCAGAATACTCGTAGGAAGCCTGTTTATCAGGTATACTGCTGACACAAAGGCATAGCTCCAAAACTTTAATGGCAACGAGGTTTGAGACAACATAGCAAGACCCATTTCAACTACATGTATATGCTTCCTCTCAGCCTTACCATTCTATTTAGATGTACCAGGGCAGGATATACGATGCAGGACCCCATTCGTTTTAAACCAAGACCTCAAAGCTTGATATTATCCACCTCCATCAGACTGCATCATCTTGATTTTATGTCTGAATTGCACTTCAATCATTTTAACAAAATCAAGGAAACATTGCATGACTTCAGACTTACGCTTGAGTAAATACACCTATGTGTATCGACTAAAGACATTGATGAATGAAACGTAGTAAGCAAAGCCATCTGAAGAAACAACTGGTGCATGTCCCCAAACATCAGACACGACTAATTAAAAAGACTCATTGTATTCAGTCAAGGACTTATAAAAGGGTAATTTTTGTGCTTTGCCTTGCATGCAAGCAGTACAAACATGAGTGAATTTAGACTTATTCGAAGGAACATTACAAAACTTCATAACATAAAGAAATACTTCTAAAGAAGGGTGGCCTAGCCTTCTATGCCACAGCTCCAACGCATCCTGCGAGCCAGAAACATTGTGGACTTGAAATTCTGCTTCATGCTTGGAACACAGAAGTTGACCATCATATTGCAGTATCTTATATAGCCCCTCATCCGTGAGCTTCCCTCGAAGAAGAAGAATTTCGGTCTGAGCATCCTTCACAAAGAACTCAGAAGCATGAAACTCAAGAAAAACGTTATTATCACGTGTGAATTGTGATACAGATAATAGTTTCTTCTTAATATTAAGAGCATGCAACATGTTTTGTAAAACTAAGGGTTTCTGTCTCGTAGGTAAGAAACCTCGACCGACATGATTGATGTTGATTCTTTCACCGTTTCCCATGAGTAATGTATTCACACCAGTATAGACAGTACCTGAGTCAAAAACTGATAGGTCATTTGAGACATGGTGCATAGCACCTGTATCAGGATACCAATTAGTTTCTGAGGGAACTGAAGAGTGAGTTGAACTAGTAGCAACAGAGGAGTTGAATGCTATAGGGGTCATGAAAGTAAAAGGTGGATGCCAGAAGGTACAAGGAATTGATAATATCCTGGAGTATGAGACATACCAATCATTCCTGGTATTCCTGGGCCAGCCGAGTAAAACATCGGTGAATATAAATCAGGAACAAACGACTGTGGAACGGTCGAGAAAGGCTGAAACATATGAGCAAACGCCTGCCCTCCAGATTGTTGTTTGACTGAATTTGTTCGAGCAAATTGTTTTTGGACATCACCAGTTTGCTCCTCACCTCTAGCTATACCCGTAAAGTCTTGATCAAAGTGGTGATAGCATTTTTGCACCACATGACCAAACTTGCCACACAACTGACATTGAGGTCTGTTTGAACTCCATCCTCGGCCTCGACCACGATAACCACCGCCTTGCTGATCCCGATTTTGGCCTGAACGTAGTTGTGATGCATTGTTCTCTTTAGCATCTACTTCAATGTTATTTACCTCCTTAGGTAAACAGTTCAAATTAGCCATAGCACCTTAATTCAGGAACAACTTTTGTCGAGCCTCGTAATCCATTAACATATCAGTCATAATGTCTAAAGAGAGACTCTCAGGAGATGCAATAGCAACGATAGACTCAAACTCCATCGAAAGACCAGCAAGAACAACACTTACATGCTCCTGTTCAGTAACAATACTACCAGATGCATTGAGTAAATCACGAATAGATTTAATCTTTGCAAGATACTCACTAATAGATAACCCAGACTTTCTTTGAGTATGCAAACTATGCCTAAGGGCTGAGATCTTGGCAGTAGACCGAGCACCGAACAACCGAGAAATGGTAGACCATATGGAGAAAGTTGTAGTGAGGCCAGTGAGATGAGGAAGAACCTCAGTCCCAATCGTGGTGAGCAACCAAGAGGCTAGAAGTTTATCTTGTTGCCTATAAATCAGGAAAGCCGAATTAACCTCAGACTGACCAGACACACTTGCAACGTATTCATTTGGTATAATTGCATCACTGGAAAGAAAATTTGTTAACCCATAGCCATCAACTATCAACGAAACTTGGTGTTTCTAAAGAAGATAGGTGCTCTCGATAAGCTTGATAGTGTCATGCTTAGGGATATGCTGAATCCCATTAATTCCTAACGGAATTGACATGGATCTCACGGGAGAGGTATTTGGTGACACATTTTCAGAGCCTCGAATCGGATATGTGGTTAGATCAACCATGATGAGCAAGATGAATCAAGAAACGATTTAACAGCGAAAGAAACCACCAGGATTAGCGAATGATACCATGTCAAGAGTAAGAAAGCTACAGCACAAGAGTAAAGAACAAGATAAAAGAGAATAGGCTCTCTAAACCTTTAACAAAAGAATCATACACCTGTTGTTACAACTGAGCTTATTTATAGCTCTATGAACGCACGTAACCAACTATAACAGAAGCTTAATAGTTTCATAACTGAAGCTTAACAACCTAAACACTAACTAACTCATGCTAGCTAACTCAAAACCGAATGGGAATCGATTACAGAGTGGGAGTGAGGTGGAGAGCCCGTGGGGCTAAACACCAGCGTCGAGTTGAACGAGTTGGTAGTCTTTTCACCATCGTGGGCCGACTTTTCACTTTTTTCCTTTTGTTTTAGCTGAAGAAGTTTACTTTGTAAGATCTCTGAAAACGTAGATTTATGTCAAGACTGAGCATGTTGCAATTGTGATAAAATTTAATAAAAATTATATTTTATTGGAACTTGTCACCTTGACGTAACGAGTTTGAATAAAAAAAAATTTGGGTAAATTTGTCACCTCGACGTAACAAGTTTCTTGAAGACTGTAACAAGTGTTGTAGATCGCAAAATAAACTTTTATACTCTATTGAGCTAATTAATAAACAGTTTGATGGGGAACCCAATTTTTTTATTTAACCCATTTGAAAATATTTACTCATATTTATAATTCCGACATAATTCACAATTATATGTTGGTTACCTTGCTTAAGGTGGAAGAACCAATTTCATCTTTCGTCCAGATAATTATAACTGATGTAATTTCTCTTAAATTCCTTTATGAATAACTCTTAAGTGATCACTACAACAGAACTGGTCAATAACGACATTTTTTAGTCTTACATCAACGTTTATAAGCGCCATAAAAAACCTCCCGGTGTAAAAAAAAAGGTTACAAGAAACGCCGCTAAAACGAACACCGCAAACATTAGCGACGTTTGTAAATAAAAAATGTCGCGACATGTTAGGAAATTTAACGATGTTTCTTTTACATATGTCGCAACAAGTTAGGTCATTTAACGACGTTTGTAAACAAAACGCCGCTATATACTATGATATTTAACGGTGTTTATATATGTTATGACATATAGCGGGGTTTGAGAGCCAAAAACACAAAAAATGTGTAGTTCTTTAGTGGTGTTTTCATCCTTAAATGTCGCTAATCGAGACTTATTTACAAATGTTAATTTGTACTCTTTATTGCCCAAATTTAACATATCCTATAACAATATCCAATAACAACCTTAATACGACTCGAATTAAGTAAAAAATACTTAACAACATAAATAAATAGAAGTTTACAAACATTCAAGAAATGTAGTTCAACATTCAAGTGAAATGTAACATAGTTTAACAACTAGAATAAACAGAGCATAAACCTAAGAAATCACCTAGGGTGGTAAATTTCGCGCTTAATATTGTTGCATCATCTGTTTAATAGCTTCAAGTTGTTTTTTAAGTTCATCATATTTTGTCTTATATGTTGCTTCTCTTACTTCTCTCTCTGCTTCTCTCGCTTGAACTTCAACTTTCGTTTGAACAAATTTTTCATGCACTTCAATCAACTGATTTTTTAATTAAATAACTTCTTATTGAGAATACTGACTCTGTGATGGCATGTACTGAGACGAACCGGATTCAAATTATTTGAATGGGGTAATGAATGATCCCTGACAGTGAACTCGATCATATCTTTTGGGACCAAAAACTTCAACAATAACTTGATTTTCAATCTCATCCACATTAATGGAATCATGAGATGAAGCTGTAGCTTTATATTCCATCATTCTATCACTCATTTTTTCCTAAGAATCAATTAAGAATTTAGAATAAATTTAAATATTATTTAAAATAAAAAATCTTATACTATAAATATAAGTATAACATAATTCAAATTTTATGTCCAGTGAATATACCATGATTTTTACAGTTTTAGGAGCCATAAGAGATTCATCTTTTTTTGTATGTGTTAGTTTGAAGAGCTTTATTCATCCAACTCGATTGACGGACGTAATTTCCTACAATATATGACATAAATTAGAAAGTACAAAAAAAATAAAAAATAGAAAAAATGTTCATTACTACGTGAATAATCATACTTAAAAAAAATAACTCCTCATGAGCTATATGAGCAAAGCTCTTCGATCCAGTTGTGTGAGTAAACTTTTGTTGTTATCTACTAGCAATACCAATGTGCTCTCGATGCTACAATTTAAAATTTACATAACTTATAAAGTCAAAATTATAGTGATATAATATTGTTTTTTAAAATTCATCATACCTCTCCTTTCTTTAAACTCTAAAACTTGACTGCATCTTTCTATTGATACTTGAGCATTCCAGGTAAGACATTTTGCAGCTTTTTTTCTAGACTGAGATCATTCTTAAAATAATTCTTTTTTAAGTAACTCTTGCGGTCTCTCCATTTCTTTCCTAACACTTGCTTCAAATAATCATCTGAGACATCTAGAGAAAATTTATTCTACAAATAAAACAAATGTTAAAAGTAAATATAAAATAGTAATTAACTGTAAATGAATTATCTATTACAATGAAATTATTACCTTAATACAATCCACAAATTGGTTTTTGTTACTATTCGACATCACATGCCATGACTGAAAATTGATCAGTAGAAGATTAGCATTGCGCGCAATCACGCCTAAGTAACCAGCCAAAACACTTGCTTCTTCTCAATAAGTTGGCCGACATTGTTACTCGAAACTTTTACACGATCCCCAAGAGGAAGTTCATATAATTATTTCATTATCGTGCGACCTCTAGTCTTACACCTATTATGACCATTTTCAGCTAGATAAAAAATAATTTAGTGTAAGTTTTCAAAATCAAGTCGAAAAAAATCAACCACCATTTAAATAAAGTATCGAACATTACCTTTAATTTCTACAATTTCTTCACCTATATTTGGAACTTTCGAAGCTCCACCACCAATTGGTTCATTATTTTTGTCTTCCTCCTCTTGAAGAGCCTGAACAATTCTCACATCACTTAATTTTCTCTTAGGCATAATATCTGCAATAAAAAAATAATATATAGTAACTAGTTACAAGAATAGTATTAAGAATAGTATTAATGGATATATTATAATTAATCAATTAAGATATAAAATCTTACTACATTGTTATGTCGTATAAGTTTTCATAAATATCTTCATCTTTGTTATCCCGAACCAATTAGAATTGTGAACTAGTACTAGTGATAGTTTCATCTAAATTTTGTGTATAAAGGGTATCTTTCAGCCAAGCGCAATAGACTCTAAACAATTTCTATCATACAAGTGTTAAACCACAAATATGTCTCGTTAAATTAAATGTTAGATGCCTTGTTGATTCAACTTCCATTTTAAACAATATTCCACCTTGTTTAAACACAAGAGATACAATTTTACTCTAAAATGACACTCCCGTTATTGATGCGAATTCGAAATATTGGAATTTCGCATTGGTGAACAATTCTTTCTCAGCGGAGGATACTAGGTGTATCCTTAAAGTCCCAATCTCTCGTTATGGCCTCGAAGAAAGTCGGGTTTGGTGCAGTGAGAAGTCGGGAATTTGTAGTGTTAGAAGTGGGCATGTGCTCCTTTAACTAGTTGAAGGAGATTTTCAGAATTATGGTACCCTATTTCAAAATTTATGGGGTTGTTCTTGTCAACGTAAAATCAAGATTCAGGTTTGGAATTTTTTTCGTAACTTTATATCTTCTAAACATAATTTATTTGGTAAACGACTATCTCATGATCCATATTGCCAGAAATGTGCCTACACCGTTGAATATAATATTCATATTAGCCGTAATTGTATTCTTGCAAAGGATGATTAGAGTGAGCTCGGTATTTATTGGCCACCAGGGGTGAATTCGTATGATTATGTGGAGTGGTTAGTTGGCTCTTTTCAAATTTGAACTGTGATGTTTGACCTATTATTTTAGTTTGTATTTGGGCATTATGGTATGCTAGATATCTTCAATACCATGAAGCAAAAAAAGAAAGGGGTGGTGAATTAGATACCTTCATTTGTACTCATTGCCATGAGTTTAATCTTGCAAATCAGCCAACTAGGCCTTCTGTGTCCAGTGTTTAAGTCCCTTGGCGTCCTCCTCCCCGACTAGGTAAAGGTAAACTTTGACGCTAGTTTTGATCCAAAACAGAATAAGGGGTGGTCAGGGGTAATAGTGAGGAACTGTGAATGGCAAATTATGAGAGCTAGCAAAAGGAAACTTCAAAACATTACCTCTACCTTTGCGGCGGTGCATGCCTTAGACCTGGTAACCAATTTGGGTTTTTGGGCAGTAATTGAAGGTGATTCTAGATCGGTAATCAGTAAGCTTAACTCGAATGATAGAGACTCGTCTGAGATTAGCACTTACATTTGGGATGCAAAGGTTCGAGCTCGGGATATACATGCGTACTCATTTTCTTTCATCACTCGTTTGAGCAACTAAGCGGAACATTTGTTGGCGTTGGAAGATGAAAGGTCCTCTGGTGACAAGTTTTGGGTTGAAGAGGCTCCTCGAGCTGTAACGGTTCAGGTGGAAAGGGATGCTCGGGTCATGTACCCACTTTGATCTTTTCTTTCCCTCGTCGTTTTGTTTACTCAGGTCTTCATTCTTTCGTTTTCGTGGTCTCCTTGTAGAGTGTTTCAGTTTTTTCTTTTCTGGCTTGTTCGTTTGGTGCAGTGGAATTGAAATGGCCGCCCTGGCTTTTCATTTTTCTTTTGTTTTTACTCTCTAGTGATCCACAGCTGTTCATGTCCTTTATGTTCTATTTCCACCTTTTCAGTTTCTTTTGGGATTTGTATTTGATTTTTTCTCATTAATAAAGGGACGACGATTTAAGTTCAAAAAAACGTATAAAATATAAAATGAGAGCTGAAATCCAAGTTTTGAATTGTTCTTATCATCTGCCACGTGACATTTTTTTGGACTAAATATATACAAAATACGCAAAATAAGACAAAAGAAAATAAAGTTACAAGGTGAGGAAACGAATACGCTAGTAGGGTAGATTTGATTAAGCCTTAATGATAGTCCTTTAAAAGCCCAATAAGCATCATCGCGGCTTAACTCGACAATCTACACCTCCTTGTCCCCGCAATTTCAATCCGAGTGGTTTCGAGCTTTTCGATACCATATCACCGGCATCGTCTCCCCCTCGTTTCCCCTTTTGTAGGGACGACACAGATCCTCCTAGGAATTCATCGAAGAAGAACAATCAGGTGAACCAGTGCTAAAAACTAGACAACAAAAACCCAAACCCAAGAAACAACATCCCCAAAGTAAGTTTTACTCTCTCTTTTTTCTATTTATTTATATGATATTTGATCTCCTCTTTTGTGTGCTTTAAATAGGTTTGGGTTTTGCAACTTGTGAATGCTACTGATAGAAGAGAAACCAAATAAGTGAATGATACTTCAGTTTAATGCTTTTCACGGTTGATTGTTTCTTCATCCTGGTAAATTACCAAATATAGCATCTAATTCCTCTGTACGAAATAAAAATGTTTATCAGATCATATCATGATGAGGAACACTACAGTAGTGTAAGATCAAAAGAAGACCCCTGTAATGGGCCAGCAATTCCAATTATAATTAAGGACAGTATCTATACAGGATCAATCAAATTAGTTATGGCTGGAAGCGGTTGTGAGAGCGCCTAGAAAGTTGAAGAGGTGATGAATTAACATATATATATATATGTGTGTGTGTGTGTGTGTGTGTGGTGTCTTTGTTCCTGTATGTCTGTGTCTTTTGTAAGTTATGGCCTCAAGTCCCTTGTTTCGCATGCTCAAGAATCATGATATGCTTGGAATTTTCTCTGTGCTTACTTTGCATACGTGTACTCTTCTTTAGGTTTTAATGGTAATGTTGTTGCTGCTATAGAGTTTCTGGTAGCAGAACAACTTGGGCTGAAGAAGGTGCAGCTTTAAATGATTCACATACTTGCCATGCAAATGGTTCTTATGGTAATTGCGGGTCAGTACTAAGGCTAATTCTAGATCTTTTATTAGGATTCTCCCTTCATTACTTATTCATTTTACTTTTTATGATGAAAAAGTCCACTTTGTTCTTATAACATCTTGTGTAGGCTTTTATAGTCAGTAAGACAGTTGTTGATGACTATAGAAAGATCATTACAAGATGCAGTATGAAAATCCTATTCATACAATATATGGGCCACAATTTTTGAAAATGCAGGGCCACATTTTTATCAGTTGTGCTCATTAAACACCATCCTAGCCTTAAATAAATTAAAATTTTTCCCTCTTTTAACTTTCTGAACTGCAGAAGATTCCAAGAAACAAGTTATGTCCTTGTGGATCAAAGTGAAAAATACAAGGCTTGTTGTGGATCTGTCTTAATGAAATCCTCGAATAAGCTTGTAGTGTATACCTCTTACACTTTAGTTTGCTTTTGGGTCTATTTGTGCTATCTGAGCTAAATGCAATATATATTAGTTCTTCAAATTCAGCTAAACACTGGCACGTGCTGGACATTTTTCTTGTAGCACATGATGCGGACATTGGATCTTGAGTCTCTCTCACTCATTTTTCCAGAGCCTTTTTTTTCTGTATAGTAACCAAACAAATGAGGTCGGAAAGGGTAAAAAGGAGCAGAAACAAGGCAAGACAGGAGTATCTGCTAAATCTGCAGCATCTCGTGGATCTGATGGAGTGCCACCTGACATGGGAGCACTTTGATATGAGCTTAGTTAGTGAGTGCTTTTGCCACAATTGTTATCCTAAATGACTTTGATGCATACTTGCATATATATATATATTCATTCTAATTTCCAACAAGAACTTGTTCTCATTTTACTTGAGGAAGAAACAGCACTTCTGGTAGAAAATTTAAGCCATTTTAGATAAGTACATCCTGCTGATTATTTTGTTCTTTGCTTTGGAGATCTCATACATGCCAATGCCATATGTGGGATCTTATCCTTACGTGCTGGCAGTCTCTTGAAAATGAATCTGAGTGCTCCATGCCCTCTGTAACGTTCTCCTTCTTTATTCTCTGGATTCCTTATCCATCCACATGTTAAGCAAGCAGGCAGGATAACCAGCTTCTGCTTTTCAACTCCCAAGTTTACTTTTGAGATTCCATGTAAATAGTTCTTATGTATCTTTGGCAAAACATGAGACTATACAAACATAGAATGATGATGGTGAAAAGATTAGTAACAGAAATGGTATAGATTCTTGTCTAAATATGCTACTCTTCATTGTTTTAACATTCTATTTAACTTGCCGGTAGGGGTGTTCATTCGGTTAATTCAGTGGCCGAACCGACCGAAATACCATTTTCGAATTAACCGAACTTTTTTTTTCTTTAACCGTTAACCGAACCGAATTTTTTTTTGAAAATATTAACCGAACCGAATAAATTTCGGTTAATTCGGTTAATTTTCGAATTAACCGAAATTTTTTAGAATTTAATATTTTTTTAATTAAAAATAACAATTTACAATTAATTTAAATAATATCTAATTATAAATAATATCTAATTAATTTGATTCAAACATTTTGTATTTAGTTTTGATATTATTTTAATTAATTAATATTGATTTGGGTTTTAAATGGGTTTTAAATGGATTGGGTCTCTTAATATAATTATATTTAAAGGTTAATTCGGTTAATTAACATATTTCGAACCAAATTAACCGTTAACCGAATTCCAAAAAAATCCTTAACCGTTCTCCGACCGAATTAACCGAACTAATTCGATTCGGTCGGTTAATTCGATTAAAACCGAATTTTGAACACCCCTACTTGCCGGTAACCTTTGCCTCTTTTAGAAGCATAGAATATATTGTAGTGTTCGTAACTGTGTTTTGTGCATGCATATGGAAGACCTACTATCAAGTGTTTCAATGTTTTATTCCCTAGTACAAGTGTCAAGATGGTGTTATCATTTTGGGTCTTTCATGGCTTCAAGGCAACTGGTTCATGGAGCTTGCCTTCATTTAAAGTTAGAATGCTTACTTATGTCTTTTGATAAAAAAATTCTAAAATTAGAAAGTTGGCGAGCACTCGAACTTTGGTTTGATCATAAAGATTCTTCAAGGAAAGGTTTCATTGCAAAACTCATAATAACCATATGATGCTTTAAGTAACGACTCTAAAATTATCCATAATATCTTTAACTTTTTTTTGAACGATGGCAACTTGATCTTATTAATAATGAAAGAAATTAAAATTACAACGCATCAGAAAAAAATAAATTTGGAGACAATAGACACTAAAATACTCAAACAAAAGTAATAATAAACCTAAAAATACAAAAAAAAATCTTTCGTTGAGAATTACGACCAATATCAAAATTCAATAGCCTTCATACAAATTCTTTGTCTCTGTCGAATGAGACGTTTGACGAAGTGATAAAAGAGTGGAGAGCAAATCAAATAATCTATCATACTGTTTCGCTACACAATTCTGATTACAATGGCAAACAATCTTTTATCAAAAGAGGGGATCTGATTATACGTGACTACCGACTAACCAATTAGAAAATAAATGTCGCGGTGACTTTTGTGCGAGGACCAAAATGACCGCAAAGGTATGCGAAAAAACATACCAAAAAATATGAGGATCGTGCCACAATAGCAGAGGAATCACGTGCAATAAGAGCATAGAAAAACCATGTCATAAGGACAGAGAAACTTATTTAAAATTAAAAAGACTCAAGAAAAAAAATAAAGTTATAATATAAAAAATAAAAAAACAAATATTTTCCGACGGTGACAACTAACATTAAGATTGATGACGCCGCCTGCCAAACAAAGTTTAAAGAGAAAGAAGACGCGGCACAAAAATAATGAAAGAAAATTAGATCGAGAGAAGAGGGAGGGGCATGGTTTTGAAATATCAGACCACGCGAAATCAAGTATCTTAAACCTAAGAATCAGTTAAGTAAATATAGACTAAAGAATGCCAAATTTGGGCATAATACATAATATCTTTAACTCTTAATTGAACTAAATTATATATTTACACATAATAATATCAATCGAATTGAGAATCAGTTGTTAATAAACAAACGGACCATATTAGATTAAGATTTTTGTTGGTCAGCTGCTCTTAGCCATTGCCAGCCTTTTATGGTGAAAACTGAAAGCCACCCATCTGAAAATAAAAAGGCAAAGTCTTCTCTTCCTTGAATCGGAAACTCGTATAAACCTTTCTTTGTTCCCCCAAATGGGAAATTATTATTTTCAGCGTGCACTTATATGACATCATTATATATATATATATATATATATATATATAAAAAGCATCAAAATACCATCCATTGTAGAAAAGGAAATAAAACCTAGTAGAGCCAAATAGAAAAGGCAAATTCTAATCTGAATAATTTAAAAACGAAATCCCAAAATTGGAATTACATTTATATTAAATTAATAAAGTTTTCTTCTAACAAGTTATATAATTTTTAATATCTCAGTTGTCTGGTCCTTTTGACAGGTTCAGTCACAATAATGCCACGAGGCATACAAAGCCTGTGACATTCAATAAGTTAGTACTCTGAAACCCCACCATTGAGAGATTTATAATATTTAAATTTGTTTTACTCATTCATTCGAATATTTTGGTATAAAAAGTTGTACATATATGTGGTTTGGTCATGGTTGGTGTCGGCAGATTTACATGATTAATATAATCCGTTGTTTATTTGATTTTGCAAAGGTTTTTTCCTTTTTCTTTTCCGCTAACTTTTCACTGAAAAAGATGAAAATAACAGCCATGTTCAACGTTTGTTTTGGTGGACCAAAGCTCACAACGCTCCATATTCGGCAACTTGACAGAAACTAAACATGAAATTCATGAAAAGAATGGGCCAACTCCCCTTTGAGATTTTTCAATCTTTTATACTAATGATAGAAAAATTCAACTGAATTGGATACATTTAATATTAAATCGATTCTAATAAATTAAAAAAAACACCTAATATTAACAAATAATACATGCACCAAATATAAATAATCAATTTCTTAATTCACCGATTTGACCGACCAGTTCTTCATTCCATGGTTTAAGAATTTTATTTGCTCTCATGCCTATATATAATGAGAAAAGAAATGCTTGTTGGTAGCCAAAATTTGTTGAAAACAAAGGGGACCACCTAAAGCTAGCCAGCATAGGTTTTCATCTTCACCTTCTTCATAAATGGTCCAACCGGTTAACGCAAGTCCAACGAAAAGAATACGAACTAGGTTTTCTTTTTTCTATTTCATCAAACGGAAATGTTATTTCGTATTTAATAAATATATTTAGTACAATTTTATTTTAAATTTATAAATTAATATTTATTTACAATATTATAACGTGAATGAGATGCTTAGGTTATTGAATGCTCCAACCGACAGAAAAAGTCAATTTAATGAGCCAACAATTATTTGGTAGTGAAAGGAACAGGACATTAATGTAGCTATGCATATCCCCGTGGTCTCAAAAGGGACATAACAGTAATAATATTAAACCTAGACCAGGCTAACTTTTTCTCACAGCATCAGTGTTGCTTTGTATTATTGGCTAGAGAGATAAAAGAGAATTCATTCATTCAGCTGTGCAACTCTAGGACGGTTATGCTTCATGCGATGGTGTAGCGAAGAATGAGAAAGGAGAATGAATAACCGGCTTGCAAGAGCAGTGGATATTTGTTCAATACTGGAGGCAGAACTATGGGGCGTTTATGAAGGGATGGTACATGCATGGAATCTAGGAGTACGGAAGGTGATCTTTGAAATCGATAACGCGAAAGCATTTAAGGTTGTCGCACGAAATCAACAAGGGCAGATCAATCCGATCACTCTAAAGGACTGTGTAGACACTCGTTTTTGTCCGGGTCTTTTTTTATATATATTATTATTATCGTTATTTTAATTATTATTATTAGCATTATTATTATTATTTTATATACATATTACATTCTGTTTCCAGGCCCAGTACAAAGACCCAAAGCCCAATACAACTCAAGCCCACCAGGAGGCCAACCAATCCACAGGCCCAGTCTGAACTAACCCATCAGATTAGGGTTTTAAACCCTAAAACAAATTAGGGTTTTAACCCTAATACCCTAACACCAGCCGCCGCCTTCAACTCCCCAAATCCCAGCTGACGCTCGAGCTGGACTTCACTCTTGTCGCCGCCGATAGCATCCCACCGCCACTGCCGTCATCTACAGTAAACCACAGTAACCCCATCAGTCCCAAATCAATCCGAAAATGTCATCAACAGTGAACCCATTAAAATATCATTCTAAATCCCGATTTTTTCGGGATTCAATCGTACCAAATCAGAGAAACAATTCCCATACCCTGTAGGCTTCATGATTTCATTCAAAACCCCTAATAAATCAAGCATGCAACCAGACAGAGAAAAAAAAACCATTCGAACTAAAAAAAAAACAGTGATACCGAAACAAAAAAGAAAAAACAGAAGGAAAAGAGAGGAAAACCACAGAGAAAAAAAAAGGGTTCGAACCCTAGACAAAAACGAAAAAACCCACTTGAACCGTTAGAAGCAAACAAGAAAATAGAGATAGAGAGAGGTATCTCACCGTGGTTCGAGGCCGTGGAAGCCTGAAATTCGTCGTGCTCTTTCTTTCTTTCGAAGGTAATCACCTAGATCTAGGGATTTAGGGTTGGCTTTAGGTCGAGTGGGGTGTTTTTTCGAGTATAGGGGAAGGAGAGGAACATTTTGGGGTTCTTTTGACTTCCTCCGGCCACCGGCGTCGCCGTGCGCCGCCGCTCACCACCGCGAGCTCTGTCGTGGCTCCCCTCCCCGACGAGGAGAGGTTGAGAGATTTCTAAATCTCTCTCTCTTCTTTGCTTCGGCTGAAATGAGCCAAATGAGAAATGGGGAAGGAAATAAGCCGGTTTTGGGCTTATATCTCCAAACCGAAACGGCGACGTTTAACAGGGGGAGGAATTCCGTGTTTTCGTGATATGGGTAAACTACTCTGTAGGTCCTTGACCTTTGTAATCTCACGATTTAGTCATTGAATGAAGTTTCATTTTATTTGACTTTGAGCCTTTATCTTTTCACTGTTACATATTAGTCACTATCCATGCTTTATGGCATTTTTGTCTATATTTGATAATGGTTTTAATAAATTAAAAATATTTCAATTTAATCACTGATTCCATGTATTTATATTTTTGCGTTATTAGAATTGGTCACCATATTTGTAATAATTTTATTTTGGTCACTTATCTTACATGTT